TGGCCCGAGGCGGACGAAGCGGCTGCGATATCGATCTCAGTGTTCTGTTGGCAACAAAATGTTACATGAGATGAGAATCTGGTAATGTAATAATACATGTCGGAAAGAAAAGTTTTCTGAATGTAGAACATAAAGGTGGAAAATAAATTTGCGGAAACCCTAAAAGGGGACATACACTGCGGGAGACGGTGGGCGTGACGTAGGTGGCGCCGGCCTTGTAGAGGCGGTTGATGTTCCACCAATCCTTGACGCTGCCGGGCTTGTTGGCGAGCGTGTCGTCAGAAATGGAGTCGACAAACTTCTGCACCGGCGTCTTCTGCGACGCGGGCCACGTGCCGTGCCAGATGAGGTAGACCTCGAGGGGCTGAGACATCACGGGGCCGCTCTTGTACGAAATAGAGTCGGGCGCGTAGCTGGGGACTGCAGAGTGGAGGAGGGAAAAGGAAGCGACACGGGAGAAGGGGCGAGAGGAGGAGAATAGCAGAGTGATTACATGAAAAACTCTTGCACGAGATGGGCTTGGGCGCGTGGCTAGATTGAAAAGCGGAACGTCGACGAGCCGCGACAGCAAGCTCAAGAGCAAAAGTGGGAAAGAAAGTAGGAGTCGACTCAATATTGGGAAAGTAGGTCGTATAGGTACAAGCCAGCGAGAAAGTACGAGCAGCAGCGAGGAGGCAGCTTTACTCACTCTTGCCGGTATACGTCCGCATGAACCCGCCATTCCTTCCCGATCCCGTAGACCGGGACCGCACGCCCCTGCCGCTTCCGCTGCCACCCCTGCCGCTTCCGCCTCCGCTGCCACCGCTGCCACTGCCGCTGCCGCTACCGCCGCCGCTGCCGCCGCCGCTGCTTCCGCCGATGGTGATGCGCACGCGAACGCCGGGACTTGACGATGTACCGGAGGTGGAAGCGGTCGTCTTGCCCTTAACTGCAGGACAGGGGAGGCAAGGGGCGCGGGGAGCACGCGGGGAAAACACGGGGAGCACACGGGGAACAAGGGGCGGGGGGGGGGGGGGGGAAGTGGGGAAGGGGGGAGGGGACACACGCACACGCACCAAAAGGAAAGCGGGAAAATTGTTAGGGAGTTGGAGATTGACAGGCGAGCCGAAGTCATCAACGTAAAAAAAGGAGGGGAAAAAGAAATTGACGAGCAGAGCTGCTGCAGCTAAGAGAGCAGTGGGTTACGGCGGGTGGTTATAAGCACAGCGTGGAAAATAACTGGCCGCCCGTGCGGTTTAGAACCAGGGCGCTGTAAGCACACGAGCATGGGCGTGTGGAATTTCTCAGCGCAGTACAACTGTTCAAACACTCTTCGAGCATCTCAAAGCTAGTCGGATATATCGATGAAAAGTCAAGGGTTTCGAGGCTTTAGGGCACCACAACTGCACGTCGTTCGTTCTCATTACCTAAATTTGGCCCCGACTCGACTTCTGCGAGGAGGGTGAAAGCGACGACCAGAGCCACCAGTGCGAAGAGAATCGCAGTTCGCCGGTGAGCCATTTTGCGTTAACCAAGTCTACAGATTGTTCTAGGAACTCTAGTTGCTGGTTCAGCTTGACAATTGGTACTTCGAACTCGTAGTGTACTATGTCTTGGAAGTGATTGAACTGGGGTTGAGAAGCTTGACAAAGACAAGCTGGGTGAGAGGAGGGAATTGTGTTTGGTTGGTCGTGCAGGGTGGGTGGCTAGAGAGGATGATGGAAAGGGTTGAGCGAAACGACGAGAAGTTGACCAGGGGGTTCAATTTCAGGGAAGTACATGTAATGTTTTGCACTTCTATGTATTATTGGAACCCAACTCGTGATTAGCGGATCCAGGTGGGATGATCACTGTGTTTTGGCAAGCGTTCTAAAACTTTTACGTCTGACTCTACAGAACTGATCCCTGCATTCAGCATAGGTCAGGTGGAAATTGTTTTGTTTTACGAAGAAACTACCCAGTTACAATCAAGCTTCTGCCCTGTGTGTGGTTCTGGCGCAAACATGAATGTGGCCCGCGTCGCGACGTGTAGGAAACAATGACAGGTGATGGTCAGAAGGCTCTGTGTGATAGGCCAACGTCATACAGGTTGTGGCAGGCAGCAGTACAGTATTCGAAGCAGCGAAACGATTTTCCTGGTGAACATTGGAACTTGTGGGGATTTGTTGAGGTCAGGTGGGGCGAGTGGGGTCCTGCAGATGGATAACCAGCCAAATTCACAGGTAAATCTGGAGCCGCAGGTAGCTCCAATACCCCTTTGTGTCCACGCCAGTTACAAACTGGTTACACAGTCCTGACAAACGCGACCCGTACCCGATCAGACTGACTCCATTCTTCGACAACCGAATATACCTCTCGCCGTGCTATTGCAATAAAAATAATATAGCATCGTTGATAATAAATTCGCTGCCATATTCAAGCAAACAATGCGCCCCAATGCCAATGTGTTATATAAAACAGCGCCCTTCAATAAAATAAACAATTTTATTCAATTAGTTAGCCGAGTATAATTTAGTGAATTCTTGTATGATATTTGGTAGACCAGATGAAGCAGCAGCATACATTAGCATATTATTACAGATAAAGTACCATTCCAGCATCAAGCCAACGCGTACCAGAGCGTTTGAGTCGTTTGATTCTCCACAAATCAGTGCCAAGCGGTTTTCCAGGACCACAGCGCACACTGTAGCACGGTGAAGTGGTGCCACACAGCCTACGCCACTACACTGCTCCACACCGCACTGCCTTGTTTCCAACATGCTGGCAATAGCGACGACAATTTTAATGAATCTGGCGCACAACAACCTGGGAGTTCACAGAGCGATTTTAGCTAGCAAAATTTGAAACTTCCAGAAGTCAAAAGCGCCCGTTTGTTTAGGGTGAGCATTCGCAGGAAATCGAGACATTTGACAACCCAAACCTGCACAGCCCCTCGGCCAGCCAATCAAGAGTGAGAGGGCTATCCCTCCTGCAACCAAGAGAGGTCTTCACCCTACCCGAATGCACTTCAAGTCACCAAAACGTACTCCACCCCGTCTTACACCAACCGCGTGTTTGAACAAGATGCTCGTTGGTCACTACAGTTGTCTACATTGGAAAAATGTGTCACAGTCATGGCTTCCGTCGTTGAGCAGCAATTCTCCTCCATCCAAACAAACGATACAGCGAACCGAGGTTTCCTCTGCTGACACAAGCACAACTGCATTGCGTCGGTTCAAGCAATTGTAACCCTAACTACGTTCCTGTGCACGCACTAGCCTTAGTTCACCAGCGGCGAAAGCTAATTAGATATTCGAGATACGTTTTGGTTCCATATTTTGTGTACAGTTTAGACGGAAGTGTAGACGAACCGCCATGTCTCACCGACGAATAGCGTTGCTACTATTATTCCTGGCGCTCGCAGCAGCACCGTTCGCGCAGCGAGTGGAGTCGCGGTTAACACCACGGGAAGCAGCGCGCCTCGAAGGTAAAGCAGTTACGACTTCGTCCGCGTTAGCGTAGGCTTTGCCGAAACTACCCACTCTAACAAGCAGGACTCCGCCTAACTCCGTGAGAAAAAATCCATGTCATTTGTCCACTGACAGTCTGTCAGAGAAGGCATATCCCAAGCTTAAAAAGTCCAGGCCAACCGCTTCCCTTAGAACCACTATCTGCCGCCATTATTTAGAACCACAATATTGCTCCGAGGAACAGTTTATTCTGAGTCGGCGGACAAAAGAGCCAAAGCCTTCTAGAAACGTCCAGAGGCTCTAGAAATTTCTCGAGACTCAATCATGGTGTCCGCAAAAGCAAAAACAGGTTGTTCTCTCTCGAGACAAGTCGAAAACACGCTCCTTGTCGCCTCTTTTACACTGGTTACATTGTTACATGGCTAACCATGACCCCCTTCTCCTTCCCCCACGTCTTATCCACCCCCGCCATTTCCTCGCTCCTCCTACTCCTCCATGTCACCCGTCGTTCACGCGCAGAGGGTAAAGCGGCGCTTGAGCGGCTCGGCGTCCTTATCACTAGGGAGCACGGTGCGTGTCCGCGTTCTCCGCCTTTCGCAACGGTGTACCTGTTTTTAGGGCGCCTCGAAACGTCATGTTACAGAGTTTGAGGCGCCTCAGAAAGCGTTCTTGCCTTTCGCAGTGTACCTTTGCGTCCGCTCCCGCATCTTCTTGCATCCCGACCGTCGCTGCTGTCTCCCTTGCAGCAATCCTTGCATCGTGACCGTTGCTTTCCCGCCCCTCCCCACGCTCCTCCCCGTCGCTCCTCTCCCGCTTCACCCCACGCTCCTTCCCTTTCCTTCCCTCCGCCACTGTCTCCCCGCCATTCTTCCTTGTCCCCTTCCTCCCTCCTTTTTTCCCCCCTTTCCCCCTCTCTTCCTTCTGCCTTCGTCAATCTCCAGGCGCTCGGCCCTCCCATGCAACTGTTGCTGCTGCTGCTTTCGACCCTACCAGCACCAGCAGCGAAGGTCCTATTAACGTCCGCACTGCCAGCACCACCACCAGCACCAAAGATACCACCAATCTTCGCGCCACCAGCACCAGCAGCGGCGATACCACCAGTGCACGCACTGCCAACACCAAAGTTACCACCAACACTCGTTCTACCACCACCACCGGCAGCAGCAGCAGCAGCACGAGCAGCAGCAGCGGAGGCAGCACGGATCCTCCCATCCGCATCACCATCGGCACTGGGTTCCCCCGGTGGTGGTGGTGGGGCGGCGGCGGGTCAGGCGGTTCAACCAAGAAGTCTACTGGCGGGTCTTCTCGCGGACTGATGAAACCCTACAGCGGTCGAGGTGGGTGGGTGGGAGTTGAGAGCGGTAGAAAGCGGTGAGCGGGAGTGAGCGGGAGTGCACTCAAAAGGTCAGGCGGTTCAACAAAGAAGTCTACAGGCGGGTCTTCTCGCGGACTCATGAAACCGTACAACGGTCGAGGTGGGTTTCGGGTGGGTGGGCGGCGGTAACAAGCGGTGAGCAGGAGTTATAGTATTCGCATCACCATGGGAAGGGGGGGGGAGTCCAAGCCCCGGTGATGGTGGGGGGGCGGCAATGGGTCAGGCGGTTCAACAAAGAAGGGAACGGGCGGGTCTACCCTGGGACTCATGAAGGCGTACAGCGGTCGAGGTGGGTGGGAGCTGGTTGGGAGGACGCTTTTGAGTCGACTCAAAAGCGGTTGAGATGGGTGGGAGGTGGTAGCAAACGGTGAGCAGGAGTGGTCATTGAGTGCACTAAATGGGACAGGCGGTTCAACAAAGAAGGGGACAGGCGGGTTTACTCTCAGGCTCATGAAATTATACAGCGGTCGAGGTGGGTAGGAGGTGGGTGGGAGAAGGGAGGGAGAGTAGTGAGATGGTGTGGATTTTGAGCTGGGGATTACACACACTAGGAAGGGCGGCATAGTGAACCATACAGGCGGATTGAATCTGGGGCTCACGGAACCATACAGCGGTCGAGATGGGTTGGAGGGTGGTGGCAAGTGGTGAGCAGGAGTGACTTATAAGTGCACGCTATTCTCCTCCCTCTTCCCTCCCTCCGTTTAAATCCCCGCACAATCACTCTGCTATTCTCCTCATCCCTCGCTCCCTCGCTCCCTCCCTCCCTCCCTCCCTCCCTCCCTCCCTCCCTCCCTCCCTCCCTCCCTCCCTCCCTCCCTCCCTCCCTCCCTCCCTCCCTCCCTCCCGCCTCCCGCCGTCCTTCCCCCCTCCCTTCTTCCCCTTGATTCAACACTCCCCGCGCGCCCAAGCCCTTCCTTTGCAAGACCTCTCAACACAATCACTCTGCTATTCTCCTCCTCTCCCTCTCTCTCAATCACCCCTTCCATTCACCCACCAACCCCTTCCCCTCCCGGCTCCTCCCTTCCGCCAGTCCCCAGCTACGCACCAAAGCCCATCGCGTACAAGAGCAGCCCCGTGATGCCTCAACCCTTAGAAGTCTGCTCTTCTTCTCCCCTCATGCCTCCTTCCTTCCCCCTCCCCCGCTCCCCCGCCCCTCCTCCGCCCCTCTCCCGCCCCTCTCCCGCCCCTCCCCCGCCCCTCCCCCGGCCCCTCCCTCTTTGCCAGTCCCCAGCTACGCGCCCAAGGCCGTCTCCTACAAGAGCGGCCCGGTGATGTCTCAACCTCTAGAGGTCTACCTCATCTGGCACGGCACGTGGCCCGTGTCCCAGAAGACGCCCGTGCAGAAGGGTCTTCGTGACTCACGAGATAGAAGGGGAGCAATGCTTGAAGACGCCCGTGCACAAGTTTGTCGGCTCCATTTCCCACGACACACTCGCCAGCAAGCCCCCTCCTTTCCCCCCTCCTTTCCCCCCTCCCGTGCCTCCCCCACCCCCACCCCTCCCCTGCCCCTCCCCCGGCCCCTCCCTGTTTTGCCAGTCCCCAGCTACGCGCCCAAAACTGTCTCATACAAAAGCGGCCCTGTCATGTCCCAACCCCTGGAAGTGTACCTAATCTGGCACGGCACGTGGCCGGCGTCGCAGAAGACGCCCGTGCAGAAGTTCGTGGACTCCATTTCCGACGACACGCTGGCCAACAAGCCCGGCAGCGTCAAGGATTGGTGGAACATCAACCGCCTTTACAAGGCCGGCGCCACCTACGTCACGCCCACCGTTTCTCGTAGTGTAAGTTCCCTCTTTGGGCTGTCCTAGTTTCCCTGGTTACCCTCTCTTGGGCCCCCTTAGGGTTTCGCCTCTCGCACAGCGTGCGTCTGCCTTTAGTGTTGTTTCCCCAGTTGGCTTGACCGGGCGAGCGGCACGCTGGCCAACAAGCCCGGCAGCGTCAAGGATTGGTGGAACATCATCCGCCTCTACAAGGCCGGCGCCACCTACGTCACGCCCACCGTCTCCCGCAGTGTACGTCCTCCCTTAGGGCTTCCCGCAGTGTACGTCCCCTCCCTCCTAGGATCCTCTCTCAGGGTTACTCCCTGTTCCCCTCTTCGCAGCGTGCGCCCCCTGTTCTCCCGCACTGTACGTCCCAGATTCTACAAAGGCCGACCTGCTCGATCTCATCAACAACTTCTAGATCCTCTCGGGATCGATCATACAACAAACCAAACTCCACCCCCTTCCCCCTTCGCCCTTCCCCGCCACCCCTTCTCCTCTCTGTATCTCCTCTCTGACCCTCACCCCTCACTCACACATCAAACCCATCAGAACACGGAGATCGACACTGCAGCTGCTTCATCAGCCTCGGCCCAGGCGCCACTAAAAAAAGTTGACCTGCTCGCGCTCATCAACTTCCAGCTCCTCTCGGGATCATCAAAACCACCCCCTTCCCCCGCCATTTCCCCCTTCCCCTTCCTCCCCCATCAGAACACGGAGATCGACATTGCAGCTGCTTCTTCAGCCTCGGGCCAGACTCCGCTAAAGAAAGCCGATCTGCTCGCGCTCATCAACTTCCAGCTCCTCTCGGGATCATCAAAACCACCCCCTTCCCCCGCCATTTCCCCCTTCCCCTTCCTCCCCCATCAGAACACGGAGATCGACATTGCAGCTGCTTCTTCAGCCTCGGGCCAGACTCCGCTAAAGAAAGCCGATCTGCTCGCGCTCATCAACTTCCAGCTCCTCTCGGGATCATCAAAACCACCCCCTTCCCCCGCCATTTCCCCCTTCCCCTTCCTCCCCCATCAGAACACGGAGATTGACATTGCAGCTGCTTCTTCAGCCTCGGGCCAGACTCCGCTAAAGAAAGCCGATCTGCTCGCGCTCATCAACTTCCAGATCTTGTCGGGATCGCTGCCGCGAATCAGCAGCGCCGTCTACGTCATTTTCACCTCGGCTGACGTGGATGTGGATGGGTTTGGCTCCGACTTCTGTGCTTTCCACAGCGTCAGCGGGAATGTCAAGTGGGCGTGGGTCGGCATGCCCGAGAAAGTGAGTGCTCGATGTTTTGGGGAGGGTGAATGCTTGGTTTGAGTGATTCCCATGCCTTAAAAGGTGAGTGCCTCCAGTTGAAATGCTTCATTTACACTCACATCATACGTCATTTTCACCTCGGCTGACGTGGATGTGGACGGGTTTGGGTCCGAGTTTTGCGCGTTCCACAGCGTCAGCGGCAGTGTGAAATGGGCGTGGGTCGGCATGCCCGAGAAAGTGAGTCCTCAGAGTGCGGGAGAGGGTGAGCGATCTGCATTTCTGAGCAGGTGAGAGCTTCATGCACACACAACTGACTTTTGTGTGTTTCACAGCGTCAGCGAGAACGTCAAATGGGCGTGGGTTGGCATGTCGGAAAAGGTGAGTGGTCGGTGTGAGTGAGAGGGTGGGTGTGTCCGTTCACTCTCTATGCTTGCTGCACACTCGCAACAAGCCGCAGCATCAGCTGCAGTGTGAAGTGGGCGTGGGTCGGCATGCCGGAAAAGGTGAGACTTGACTCTTCTCAAGGTTTCACATTCAGGTTTTTAGAATTCGCCTAGTTTTACAGTGCAGCGGCATTATGAACTGGTCGTGGGTTGGCATGTCCAAGAGAGTGTGTGCTTGGTGCGCTGGAAAGGGTGAGTGAGATCCCAATGTCTGCTCAGGTGTTCACTTATCACTTCCACACCTCCCCTCCCTGTCTTTCAGTTTCTGGCAAAGTGCACGCACTCAGCAGCAGCAGGCCTTGAGTACCCCAACGGGGACAGGATTCTCGACGGGCTGATTTCCAACTTTGCGCACGTGCTTTCCGAGGCTGCAGTCAACCCGAACCTAAACAGCTGGTCCGACGACAACGGAAACGAAAATATGGACCTGTGCTCTGGAATTTGGGGTACGGAATACCTCTCTGATGACAGCCCCCCTGTACAGTACAACGCTGTGGGTGTAGACGATTATAGATTCTTTCTTCCTACAAATTTAAATCCGAGCACAGGGTATTGCATGAATGGGCTGTCGGTGCTACCTGGGGCGTGTGGAAAGGACTTGTTTAACTACCCGTGCGATACGGGTGGGATATAGAGAGGAGAGTGGTGTTAGCAACGGGGTGATTCAGGACAATGGGTTGCTTTACTACATGCGATACTTACTAATATTCATTTTAGAAAGGATGCGCTCTTGGGTGGGATAGACACACTCTCGTTGTATTTGTGTATTTTGAAGCTGTCTGCAGTGTCGTTCAGTTGGGTATCTTAACTAATGTATTCTGGTGTTATACAGAGCTCCTGTAATCTATAATGTATGGTGTTACCATTACAAGGTACGGTAGACACTGGTGCAGGACTGAACTTATGACAAGTTGCTTGTGGCTTGCGTTGTACCAGGCATCCAAATAATGCAAGACTGATCAAATTAGAGAGAAAGGAAACAAGCAGAATAAATTAGTAGCACTAGACTGGGAAGCAAAATCTAAAACAAGCTATGATTCCCATTGCCTATCTTTGAGGCGCATCAAAACCGATTCCCCTTGCTCACACCACCAACCTTTCAACAACCCCTTCCCAACCCATCAGTGTTACCCTTCCATCTAGTCACATCAGTCGTACCTACCCTCTCTTCCCGCACCGCCGCCACAGCTCTTGTCCTGTGAGCCATCCGCCAGCATTCTCAAAATGCGGTCCTTCAGTCACTCCTTGCTCGCCTGCTGCATCTGCTGCCATCCCCACTACGCTCTCCCATCATCTCTACCCTCTCTTTCCATACCCAGTGCCCCGCTTGTCCTGCGCGAGCTGTCAGCCATCATCCTGAAAGTGCGGTCCTTCTGCTGCTCCTTGCTCGCCTGCTGCATCTGAGCCATCTGTTGCTTCCAATCCAGCCCATCAAAGCTACCATCTCCCATCACCGCTACCCTCACTTCCCATTCCTGCCACGGCTCTTGTCCTGTGAGCCATCCGCCAGCATCCTGAAGACGCGGTCCTTCTGCTTCTCCTTGCACCACCAAACCTTCAGTGCCTGCAGCAAACCACTACCCACCCAGCAGCACCACCCTCCATCTAGTCACATCTACTCTGCTATCTCTTCCCATACCCGCCGCCATGGCTCTTGTCCTGAGAGCCATCAGCCAGCATCTTCAGAATCCGGTCCTTCTGCTTCTCTTTGTTCGCCAGTTGCATCTGAGCCATCTGTTGCTTCCAATCCAACGGCTTGCGTGGCCCCGCTGCTCCCCCACCTTGCCCCGTACCCCCTCCTCCTCCTGGGCGGCTAGGCATGCCCCCCCCACCACCACCGTACCCCCCACCACCACCACTGTACCCCTCTCTTCCACCGCCGTACCCCTCTCTTCCACCACCGTACCCCTCTCTTCCACCGCCGTACCCCTCTCTTCCACCGCCGTACCCCTCTCTTCCACCACTGTAACCACCATCACCACTGTAACCTCCTCCCCCACCGCCACCATAACCACCTCCCTCACCACCATAACCACCACTGCCACCGCCACCACCACCGCCACCACCGCCACCAACAGGGCGCCTCACACCCCCACCCCCATCTTGCCCCCCTGGCCTCTCCCTCACCCGCCTTGGCCCCCCCATTCCCCCTCCGCCTCCGCCTCCGCCTCCCCCTCCCCCTCCCCCTCCCCTGCCGTCCCCCATTCCTCCACCCCTCCCCCTGCCGTCCCCACCTCTCCACTCCCTTCCATCCCTCCCGTAACCCTGATCGTTCCAATCATCCTCAGACATTGATTTCGGTCTCTGTCCTCTGACAGACATGAGCCCAAAGGTGTCTGTGTGGGGTTGATACTGTCCCCCCATCCCCCCTCCCCCTCCCCCACCTCCCCGTCCCCCTCCCACTCCCCTTCCTCCTCCCCCCGACCCCTCCCTCGGCCCGCCCCGTGGCAAATCCATATCATCTGCATAGTGAGTCGGCGACGGCTGAGCCTGCGGCTTAGGTCCGGCAGCCAGACCTCCGGCGTCCTTACCTGGCATTCGCATAGACTTGGAGCCCGAACCAAACACGTCCGGCCCGTCCCTACTTGATCCCCCTCTCCCTGCTCCTCTCCCCACAGGTGCCACTGCTCCTGTTGAAGCCCTTCGGACGGTTTCTGCCGTTCCCCCCCCACCTCCTCCTCCCCCTCCTCCTCCTCCTCCCCCTCCCCCCTCCCATTGCCCAGCCCCTCCCCCTCTGCCCCGCCCTCCCCCGCCTCCCCTCATGTTCCCCCCGCCTTCCCCCATGCCACCCCGTCCCCCCCTACCTCCATCCCCCTCCCCAAACCAATCATCATCCGAAAAAGTTTTCGGCCGCGTGCCCCGGGCAGATAAAGGAACGAACCGGTCTGCCCGATGCTCCGCGTCCTGATGCTGCTGCTGGTGCTGCCGCATCGGGCTCACCATTGAAAACTCGTTCCCTTTCCCCCCGCCGTGCACCGGCAAGCCATCATAATCAGCATCATCAGTAGAATGTGCGTACAAATCGCTATCGCTCATGTTAAGTTGCACCGAGGTGGAGCGACGGCTGCCAGGCTGCTTGCCTGAACCCCAAGATTGGCGAGAGGCAGTGGTAACCGCAAGGGGTTCGGATTCGTTACAGGCGACTGATTGGTTCGTTTGGGGGGCGCCGCTCTGAAAGGAAGGCGGTAGACAAGAGGAGAGGAGGAGGAGACGAGAGGAGGCGTTATGAGAAATGCGAGATTATGTTTGATGCAATAGTATAATCAATGCGAGATTATGTTTGATGCAATAGTATAATCAATGCGAGATTATGTTTGATGCAATAGTATAATCAATGCGAGATTAGAGTAGTGCAGCATTATGATTGCGTGATAATGCAGCAGCATGTAAGGAAGATGCATTGCTGTTACTGGCTGACGCCATGCCATGGCTCTCATTTCAAGGGCAACAAGGGCGAAAAGGATACCCTCACTCTCATGTATTGTGTGTGTGGTGCTAGGACGATTATTGCACAGAAGTGGGGGGTTTGCCTCTGTTTGCATTTCAAGAACAAGTAAAAAAGGTCCCTCATCGTACCTCTTTTCACGTTTCATCATCTGCCGTATAAACTGGACTCAGATTATAAGGTCCCCCTTTCTTGATTATTCAGAAGCCTTCCCAACCGCCCTCCTCTCTGCACATGAATGTAAAAAAATGCCCCCCTCTCTTCCCCCTCACCACCCCCCTTATCCACCTGCTTCTTGTCGTTATCCCCCCCAATCCGTGCCTGCTTCTTGTCGTTATCTCCCCCTATCCGTACCTGCTTTTTGTCGTTATCCCCCCAATCCGTACCTGCTTCTTGTCGTTATCTCCCCCTATCCGTACCTGCTTTTTGTCGTTATCTGCCAGAGTCAACGCCTCCACTCCGGCTGCAGGTGCGCCCATCTGCGGCGAGGGCTGCGCCCCGCGGGGGGAAAACGGCGCCCCTATGAGGGAGGGACTGCGCATGCGCCTGGGGGTTCCGCCTTCCGCCTGACTCGCAGCACTGGCCTTTACTGCTGAACCCGACGCTTCCTCCGCTTCCCTCTCCCCCAACCGCTTCACCTCCACGCCGTCCCATGCTGCCACCTGGCTGCCAGCAGCAGCCGCCACGTCAGCATCCAGCGAGACTTGCTCCACTCCTTCTTCTCCCCATTCCTCGTCTTCCTCTCCCTCCGATGACTCTATATCTTCGTCCACCCACACCCCTTGTACTTTCTCCTCCTCCTCATCCTCATCATCATCACTATCGCTATCGCTATCGCTCACACTACTGTCGTCGCTATCCCTATCTTTTTCTTCCTCCCCCTCCCTCACTTCCTCCGTCTCCCCCTCCTTCGCACCAAGCCCACTCTCAGTGCCAGCAGCAGCGCTAGCGGAAACAGCACCGGCAGCCGCAGCCCCCGCTGCCGCCGTCGCAGCCGCCACTGCCGCGGCGACAGCCACAGCAGTTTGCGGGTCTCTAGGAACCAGGCTCCCAGTCGCAGGAAATTTCCCTCCATATACCCCTCCTCCCCCCCCTCCTGTGCCCCCTCCCGCTCCTCCTCCGCCTTCCACCTTCAGGCTCTTGCTACCCGTTGCTGTGAGATATTTTTCCGGTGCTGCCCGATCCGATTTTGTTTCAATCTGCCCGAACGACTGCGCTCCACTGGATAATACGGATCTGTCACCTGGCTTCCCCCTGCCCGCTCCTTTGTTTGCGGACTGCCCGCCAGCGACCGCCTTCCGCTCTCGCGTTTCGCCGTCCTTCTTGGTCCTTGGTCGGTGTTCCTTCTTAGCATAATCACTGTCGCCCCGCGCGCGCTGCTCCTTTTTATAGGCCTTCTTTAACTCCTTCGATCTAGGAGCGTCTCGAACAAACTCTGTGGGCAGATCCTTAGGAAGCTCCTTTTTCGACTGCCCGAACAAACTTTCCGCCGCGTCGTTGATGCTTTCCTTGGCGCCAAGAAAAACATTTCGAAGAAAGAGCCTCTTGCTACCGGTGGGGAGACTTGAGCCAGCAGTTGCTGCTGAGTTGGCGCCGGGATCATCGTCCACGTCAGCGTCCCACGTGGCAACCTCCACCTTATCGCTGAACCGCAGGCGCTTTTTCGGCTCCACGAGCTGTCCCGTGGCGCGTGCGCGTAGCTTACTGTACCTAGATATGGCGGGCTTTAATCCGGGGTACTTCCGCAACTGCACGCGCGGGCGCGCGGGGCGCAAGCGCAAGCCTTTCCCACTCCTCGCGCCCCTGCCTGCAGCGGCGGACTTAGCTGGCGGAGCTGCGCCAGGCCCCCCCCCGCCCCTTTGCGCTGGCGGAGCGGAAGTGCCGGAAGTTCCCCTAAGCGGCCGCGCTCTCCCGCGGCCCGCTGAGCTCCCGCCGCCTCCGCCGCCGCCGCCTGTAGTGCTGGACGGGCCGCGCCGAGAGGCATTGCTATTCATAGCGCTTCCCCCGGGATTGCGGACGGGAGAAGGGCCAGCCGGGCCGCGGGAAGGCAGCGCACCGGCGGGACGTCTTCGAGGATCGTCCATTGGCTGAAAAAAATCACCGGGATGCGATTCGAAGGAGGGTGACTTCGCAGCAGGAAGGTGTGTTTTAGGTCGAAGTTATTTGAAGGAGTACGCAGAGCGGCTTGAGTAGTCAGGCAGGATTACGAGGAAAAGTATTTGCTGGCAAATGATAGGTGATGACGTCACGTTCGTTCACTACCAGCAGCAAGACTGACAACGGTCGAAGTTATGGCAACGTTCGCCACAATGGCCGCACTCCACCAATAATAATAGGCGATGGAGAGACAACGTGACTTAGATTCAACGCTTGCATACATAGATTGTTGAGTTGACAAAATACGGAACCTCTGCAGCAGTCTGCTGGGGCATCAGCAGCAGTAGGAGGATTGGACAGCAAGAGGCTGCACTACTGTGCAGCAATGGGAAATCTATTCCGAGGCGAACAAATTATGCACCTTGAAATTGGAATGTCGTCGTCGTCGTCGCCTCGTTGACCTCTATGTCGCTTTGACAGGTGAAGTGTAGAGAGTTGTGGGTGGCGGTGGCGGTGAGGTGACCTGTTGCCTGCCATTGGCCCAATGCCCAGCCCAAGCCACGGCCTAGAGATTGCTGCCTGCCCGCCTTGTGCGCCCAGCAGAGCTCGTTCGTGATTCGTCGTGCTTCGTGAGCAGAAAACGCGAGGTTGATCTTTTGCTTGGTGGCTCGGGGTCGTGGTCTCGTCTCGATTATTGATTTCTCCTGATAATGGTCGGTCTGGCTGAATGTGTTTATCCGTCGATAGCCTCTTCTTGTTGCGTAATCCAACGGTTATAAAGTTAGGTTCGATGAAACAATAAAGCCGATTGGATGAGCTTCACGGCAATTTTTCATGGAGATGTCGCTCGTTCGGCTCGAAAATCTCGGTGCCTGTCGTCACTCGGTCTGAAGCTGTGATTCCTCAATTCTCTGAGTTCCAGCCGAACCACTCGGGGCAGTGGTCTGTCGAATTTCTGTTTCGTCAGCGCTTCGTAGTTTATAACGAATTTTCTTTTTGGTCAACACCTAAACACATTTTCATGCTACATATACCATGGATACTTCTACCATAAGAGCCACATATACCGTACATCAATCTACACCTTTAGTCACCTCACCTGCTACAATACCTATTCTCTGCACGGCAACATAAAATGTACATGGGAACTGTAAGAACCATTCAAAATGAAGTATATCTACAAGTCCAGTTGCTGTTAATTAACTGCTTGTATATATACCTCCCCTATCGTCTCAATAAGTGGGAAATTTGGTCGACAACATCGAACCCAACTAACATTTTGGTTCTCCAACAACTCATGTCGCAACTGCTTTATGTGATTCCTACCACAACAGCTACACATCAATACATCAAGATACGAGACAGCATCACAACAACACACAGCACCCGCCCTGTGCCTTTGCAGCACCATCGTCCTTCCCCTCACCACTCGCATCTGTCTTCCCTTCCCCAGCCTTCCCCTTTGCACCACCACCCCCCACCCCCTGCTCTTTCCTCGCAGCTTCCCCCGCTTCCTGCCGTTCCTTCCCTTTCCGCGCCTCCTCCTCCCTCCTCTCTTTCTCCCGCTCCTTCTGCTCCCGCACCTGCCGCTGCCTCTCCCTCACCGCCTCCTGCTTCCCCTCCCATTCCACCACAGCCTCCGCCGCCGCCTCACAAATCTCCAACAGCGCCGGGATCACCTCCTCCGTCAGATCCGGCCGATCTCGGCGGTCCATTTCCGCGCACCAAAGGCCGAGATTCGCCAGATCCATCGCAAGATTCGGCGGCCACTCCCCAGCCCTCGGATCGAGCAGCACGGCCAGCTCCTCCCTTTCCACCGCAGCATCTATCCTCCGTGGGTTCGGCACATCTCCAACCAACAACTGCAGCAGCACGATCCCGAACGAATACACGTCGGATTTCGGCCCGAGATAGCCTCGTCTCGCGCATAGATACTCGGGGTCTACATAATGTTCTGTGCCAACGATAACGGATTTCCGCACCACGTGGGAGTGGCCGGGAGCGAGGTCGCCCATGAGGCGAGCCAGCCCCACGTCGCCGAGCTTGGCGGTGAAGTTGTCGTCTAGCAGCACGTTGGCGGGTTTCACGTCTCGGTGGACTATGGGCGGTTTGCGCGTGTGCAGATGCTGCAACCCCGCTGCTACCTGGTGGTGTTGGGGGGGAGCGTGAGCAGGAAGGGAGGGGAATGAGCAGCACGTTGGCGGGTTTTACGTCTCGGTGGACTATGGCGGGCTTGCGCGTGTGCAGATGCTGCAACCCCGCTGCTACCTGGGAGGGGGAGGGGAGATTTGATGGGGACATTGAGTAGGGAGAAAAGAAGCACACTGGCTGGCTTCACGTCGCGATTGACGATGGGGGGTTTGCGCGTGTGTAAGTGCTGCAAACCAGCTGCTACCTGGTGGTGTTGGGGGAAGGGGAGGGGGTGGGTCATGGGAGACAGGAGGCGAATGAGGAGCACATTGGCTGGCTTCACGTCGCGATGGACATTAGGTCCCCACACCACACAACACCGCACTGCATCACACCACACCGCCCTCACGCCGTACTCACCTCGGGCCACATGAGCTAGGGAGTGCCGCCGACGCAGAGCATGCGATCCTCCCAGCCCACTCTCAGCCCACCCCACACCATACCGCACTGCACCACATTCAGCCGCTCACCTCCATGGCAATGCGGCAGCGCTCGGGCCACATGAGGGGGGGAGTCCCACCAACACAGAGCATGCGATCCTCCAGAGAGCCGTTGGAGAGAAACTCGTAGACCAGCGAGCGGTCCTCCCTGCAGTAGCCCAGGAGACGCACTGCATTGGGGTGGTCTATGCGTTTTTGTACCTCCACCTGTAGGCATGGGGAGCAAGGGTTAGAGAGAGGGAAGGCAGCGAGGAAATCAAGCAAGAGGTGGGTCGTTGGAGAGGAACTCGTACATCAGCGAGCGGTCCTCCCTGCAGTAGCCCAACAGCCAAGCCCCCACCGCATTCCACCGCACTCAGCCTCTTAAGAGGAACTCGTACACGAGGGAGCGGTCGTCCCTGCAGTAGCCCTGTAGACGCACTGCATTGGGGTGGTCTATGCGTTTTTGTACCTCCACCGCGCGCGCGCCTTGGTCTGCCGCGCGCGCGCCTTGGTCTGCGCGTGCGCGCCCTGGTCCACGCGCGCGCCTTGGTCCAAGTGGAGCGACTTGGAGAGGAACTGGTACACAAGCGCGCTGTCCTCCGTGCAATAGCCCAGTAGACACACTGCATTGAGGTGGTCTATGTACTGCTTGATGGCCACAGCTACTTTCACACACCCTGTTCCCCATAGAACCACACGCATCCCATCTCAACCCCTCTCAACCCCTCCCACCTCTTTCCCACCTCCCTCTCGATCTTATACAGGTTCGGGCTTCTTGAGTTGCTTGATGGCCAAGGCTACTTTCACACACCTTCTACTCCATAGCACCACACGCACCCCCTCTCAACCCCTCTCAACCCCTCCCACCTCCCTCTCGATCTCATCCAGGGTCGCTTTGGCATCAGGGTTCCTGAGATGCTTGATCGGCAGTGCTACTTTCACACACCCTCTTCCCCATAGAACCACACAAATCCCCACGTTACATGCACACCCCTCTCACCCTCTCTCACCTCTCTTTCAATCTCATCCAGAGCTGCTTGAGCGTCGGGGTTCTTGAGCTGTTTAATCGCCACACCTGCCCATCCATCTACAGAAGTTAGAACCACAAACCACACACCACACCCCCACATCCCCACGCACCTCCCTGTCAATCTCATCCAGGGGTGCTTGAGCATCGGGGTTCTTGAGCTGTTTAATCGCCACCGCCTTCCCGTCCAGTCCTGCCCTCCCCACACACCTTCCCTCTGCACACACACTTGTATTCACTCTCATTCGCTCACCTCCCGGTCGATTTCATCTAGTGCTGCTTGAGCATCGGGGTTCTTGAGCTGTTTAATCGCCACGGCCTGCCCATCCAGCCACCCCTTGTACACCACCCCATAGCTGCCTTCGCCACACACGTTGTTCGGCCAGAAATGATCCATGGCCGCTTGCAGCTCTTCAAGTGTGTACTGCTTGAAATCCTGTCTTGGGAGCGCGTCGAGTTCAGAGGTGGAGAGGCGGATGGAGAGGGAGGAGGCGAGTGGGTTGGATGCAGCGGGGTTGGCGGCGGTGGCGGTATGTATACTGCTGCTGCCCGTGCCGTCTCCTGCCGTGGCTCCTGCTGCTGCTGCTCCTGCCGCTGCGCCTGCTCCGGCTGCTGCTATTCCTGCTCCTGCTGCTACTCCTACTGTCACGCTGCTGCCACTAAGCTGCTTGCTCGACTGCCCCTCTCTCTCTTGAAACTTCTTTTCCAGACGAACCTTTGCCGCTACAGGTGGTTTTACCTTCCCCTTCCCCTTCCCCGGCGCTCCTCCCCCTGCGCCCCCCCCTGCCCCTCCCCCTGCGCCTCCCCCCGCGCCTTCCCCCGCTCCCCCCGCTCCCCCTGCGCCCCCCCCAGCTGCTTCTTCCGCCGCTTGGGCTTTGGCAGCTGCTTGCAGGCGATAGTTCCGCCGGGCTAGCTCTAAGGCTGATAGCCCCTCGTCTCCTGCTCCCCCACCCCCTCCCCCACTCGCCCCTACTGCACCGGCACCAGCAGCACCAGCAGCAGCAGCAGCAGCAGCACCAGCAGCAGAAGCACCACTGGTACTGGCTTTACTTGCTGCTGCTGTTGCTCCTGGTGCTGCTGCTGCTCCTCCTCCTGCGCCTCCTGCTCCTAAAACAGTAGCAGGGGTGGAGGAGGAGGGGCTGGAAGCTTCCTGTGTGCCGCTGCCCCCCTCCTGTATGTCTGGCAGCTGCTGCTCGTACGCTGGTGTGGCATACCCTGCTGTGCCCGCCTGAAAGGAAAGGGAATAAGGGGGGGGGGGGGGGGTCGGGGGAGTGGGGAGGAGATGGGGAGGAGGGGAGATTGTGAGAATTTTCAAAAGCTCGTGTATGTGTGTGTCTGCCCCCTTCCTGTATGCCTGGAAGTTGCTTGTTGTAGGGTGCTGTGGCATACCCTGCTGTGCCTGCCTGAGAAGGGGAGGAAGGAGGGCGGGGAGGTGGGGGTGAGGCAGGAGCAGTCGGAGGAGGAGGAGAGGGAGAGTGGAGGTGAGGGTGATGGGAGGCGAGGCGAGGGACAGTGGGGACGAGGGAAAGTGGCAGGCAGTGGGGGTTGAGAGTGGGTTAGATAACTCACTGTGGTGGGAGCGGGCAGCTGTCCTGAGGAGATGGATTTGAGCTTATTGCCGTCTTCAATGAGGAAGAAAGTTGCTCCGGGAAGGATAGTGGCAGGCAGAAGGACACCGGGGATTGAAAGGCATTGCCTGACTCACTGGCTGACTCACTGGCTGACTCACTGGCTGACTCACCGTGGTGGGAGCGGGCGGCTGTCCCGAGGAGATGGATTTGAGCTTCTTGCCGTCTTCAATGAGGAAGAGCGTTGCTCCGGGCGGCAGTTTCGACTCATCTGAACATGCGTTGATGGTGTGCCACCTGTGTTGGTGACAGGACAAGAAGCACGTACGCAATGCAAGGTGACTCTTAACTAAGGCGACGCTGCCTCATAATAGCGTCGACTCATCTGAGCTTCCATTGATGGTATGCCACCTGTTTGCAACAAAAATGCGGTATATGATATGTAAGATATGAATCATGTTACACCCACAGTGGTGGTGACGTGGCAGTGCACCCACCTGCACAGCGTTGTTGAAGTTTCATTCAGTCGGGCGTTAAGCTTTTGACTGCCCCAGCCTCACTCCCCACTCACTCCCCACTCACTTCCCCCCCACACCCCACCACTCACTGGCTGGCGCCCTTGCCGGCAGAGGAAGCGAGCACCATGTGGGTTGCCTCCAGCTTCGATGCTGCCTCATTTTTATTGAACCTTTCCTGCCAGCCCATGCTCCTCTCACTCCCACGCACTCCCACTCGCTCCCTCCTAACTCCCATCTCACACCCCACCACTCACTGGCTGGCGCCCTTGCCGGCAGAGGAAGCGAGCACCATGTGAGTGGCCTCCAGCTTCAACTCCGCTGTCTCTGCTTCGTTCGCCATCCACTCACTTCCTCTTACACACCCCACCCACCCCACCACTCACTGGCTGGCGCCCTTGCCGGCAGAGGAAGCGAGCACCATGCGAGTGGCCTCCAGCTTCGATGCTGCCTCTGCTTTTTGAGGCCTTGCCTGCACGCCCATGCTCCTCTCACTCCCCACACACTCCCCATTCACCCCCATCTCATTACACCACTCACTGGCTCGCGCCCTTGCCGGCAGAGGAAGCCAGCACCATGTGGGTGGCCTCCAGCTTCGTTGCTGCCTCGAGAATGGCTGCTCCCGTGTCCTCGTTCTTGATCACATGCACCGTTGATGGTAACTGGCAGGGGTGGGGGGAGGATACAGAAAACCAGGGAGAATTATTGGATGGAAGGGGCAAGGAGAATGGCTGCTCCCGTGTCCTCGTTCTTAATCACATGCACCGTTGATGGTAACTGGGGGGACGGGATCACGAAAGGATACAGTTAAAAAGAGTGAAAAAGACGAGGGCAGGGAGAAGAGAATGGCTGCTCCTGTGTCCTCGTTCTTAATCATGTGTACAGTGGAGGGCAGCTGGCAGGGATAGGATGATGGGATGGGAGTGTACATTTTTAAGCAGTGAGAGAAGAGGGCAGGGACAACGGCTTTACACGGATGGGATGGGGGCGGGGGCACATATACCCAGGGACGGCAGCATGCGGTAGCTGCTCCCTGCCCCTTGAACCCAGCCCAACCCCTCATGCACCGAGCCCAACCTCTGAAGCACCCAGCCCAACCCCTCATACACCCAGCCAACCACTCTGCACCGACTCACCCCCGCCTCGTCGCTGACGTCCTGCATGGCTTCCACGAACGGCAGCACGCGGTCGCTGCTCCTTGCTTCCTGCTACTTGCACCGAAACCAACCCCTTACACACCCAACCCAACCACTCTAAACCGACTCACCCCAGCCTCGTCGCTGACGTCTTGCATGGCTTCTAGAAACGGCAGCACGCGGTCGCAGATGTGCAACGTGCTCCCTGCTTCCTGCTCCTTGCACCCAACCCAACCCCTCATGCACCGAGCCCAACCTCTGAAGCACCCAGCCCATCCCCTCATACACCCAGCCAACCACTCTGCACCGACTCACCCCAGCCTCGTCGCTGACGTCCTGCATGGCCTCTAGAAACGGCAGCACGCAGTCGCAGATGTGCACCGCTACACTGGGGCCGTCTGCCTCACTCAGACGAACGAGCTTTCCCGCTGCACGCGGGGAGCGGGGGGAGAAAGCAGGGGGGAACGCGAGGAAGAGGAAGGGGGAAGTATGAGGGTGTGCTGGCAGCACGCGGTCGCAGATGTGCACCGCCACGCTCGGGCCGTCCGCGTCGCTTAAGCGCACCAGCTTGCCCGTTGCAGGAGAGCACGGGGGAATTGGGACGGAGGGGCGGGGAGGAGGGGAGAAGGCGAAAAGAGGGATATGCGCAACGTCAAGGGTAGCGGTCGCAGATGTGCACCCGGCACGCTCAAGCGCCCCAGCTTGCCCGCTGGACGGAGGAGGTGTGGGAACTTGGGGAAGCGGGGGATGTGCGCAATAAGAAGGGGGTCCGGTGGTAGCGCGCGGGAAGTGGAAAATCCTCAATTGAAGGCCGCTATGCTATACTGTTATAATTTTTTAAGTGAGTATCGACAAAGTCAGCATAAAATCTGTGAACCCGGGATTGAAGGGGGTAGGCTGGCTGGAGGCACGCGGTCGCAGATAACCAGTACGCCGTGTCATGACCTGCCACCTGTACCTGACACGTCATCTGTGCCACGTCAGCGGTACGTGTCGAACCTGAGTTGCGGAGCTCGGTGACCACGTGCGTGAGCAAGAGGCAGACGGTTTTGTCTTGTCGCCGGCTGAACTCGCTGATCGTCCATTCTAACGCCTGCCGGCAATGCTGGTCGTCGCGCACCCCCACCAGAACCCTAATGTCGGACGTCAAATCGACAGCCATGATCGATGAATTGAGAAGTCAAGAGTATCTTCTTGCGGGAATAAACTGCGGTCGGGATTTAGTCACCTAGGCGTGAGCGTACTACGAAAGCGATATCCATTAAATAGTGCGGTACTAATGCGGACGATTTAAAAATGCGGTACTAATGCCATGTCAATTTAACTTAGCAATAAGAGTAAGGCTTATGATGTGAACGTGCTTGTGAGGGCTGGACAACAAAAATGGGTCCTATGCAACAACGTTAACAGGATGCGAGCGTGATGCTGGAAATTATCGGGCAGGCACACACAGCGCGAAGCGCCCTGCGTCGAATGGCGGCTGTCTGAACGATAAACACGGAACGCCTAAGTAAGAATGAACGAGAGGAGCCATTAGCTCCAGTTTGTAAGTCCACCTAACATCTGAATGCCAGTGGCTGGCCGAGCCGAGAACCAGTGGCACTGCAGGCAGACATCCACCAGGGACCACTGGGGGCTCACGACAATGGACCTATCGGATCATAATCCGTATTCGAAGTGTATCACACTTTGGTTGACAGTTCTTCTGGGCCTGGGAGAATTAATTTTCTTTTTTATCGAGGACGCGCGACTAGGCTGATTTGTCACATTCACCCAAGCTGGTCCCGAAAGCTGAAAGCCCGCCAGTTTGCTACAGAACAGCACTGCTGTCAGAGTTGGTCACCGTGGTCCTCTGAGCAGCTTCCAGCAGGACAAGGATGCGTCACCTGGGCTCACTGTTGACGTGTACGACCTTGGAGATGCCGTGCTGTCGCAAGGTGCGGAATAGGTTCGGTTCGACTGACACGAAGATCTCGTCTGTTGTAACCAAGTTCGCCCAAATGAAATTGCGGCTGCCTTATCCCTTGCCAAGTGTCAGCTGTGGAACATGAGCTGCAATTTTGGTGGAGTTTCAGACTACAGTCAAACCAGAGAATATTTTATGCCGCTGTGTAACCAGAGCGTTCCCCGGCTAAAATCATATTCAGTTCATCTTCGCTACCTCTAACGTTTCATGCAATCTTGGTTTGACAATGGCGACCAGGGTTTCTGTATTCCAGAAACGACAATAGTTACCTGTAACCGTGTCGCAGGCAGCTCACTCGTGCGTACTGTGCCAAAGTTCTGGTTCTGCCATGACGGAATGGTGGTTGGTTGCTGCTGGCTGGCAGCAGATTTTCGAGGTGAGGGAAGGATGGATGCACCGCCCAATGGCCAACCGAAATTCACCTCATCATCACCAGTGCAGCCACCCCTCCCCCTCAGCGAAACGAAACTACCCGCCAAGCGCAACAACCTGGGAGCCAGTCAGACAGGTCCAGGGTACCAAGCAGATGTCGTGATCAATCGCTCGACTGGTTTCTAGTTCGCACATTTCGCGCAGCACAGAGTGGCCCTGCCAGTTACCTCTGCCACTTGACTAATAAACAGTTTTGGCTGGCCTGGCCTGACCAAGCTTTCTTTCCCACGGCGAAATGGTGGAATCTGCAGGCAGAAAACTCACACAACCAGCCACCAACCTTCCCTTCCTCATCATACACCTTCCCCTGGCAAACCCTTGCCTGCTCCAACCGACATCTCATGTTCAGTTCAGAGAATGGCCTGAATCTTGCTTCTTCAATTTGTGGGTGTACGGAATGACATGCTGTGCAAGCAGTTAGGGTCAGCTATGGTAGGGTTGTGTGTAGGAGACTAAGCGCGCCACCAGTTTTGAGCTTTAGGACCTTATACTTTAATCTCTGAAACTCAATTCCCATAGGGTTAGCTCTAGTAGGGTCTCGTCAGCATCAACATCAGCATTCGCACCAGCACCAGCACCAGCACCAGCACCAGCACCAACATCAGCATCAGCATTACCGTTAGCATCAGCATCGGCATCGCCGTTAGCATCGAAACACGCCAGTCATGAGGTTACGGAGCCTGCATTCCACCCTGCTGCTTCTCGTCGCCTGCGCGCTAGCAGCGCATTATCCGCAACGCACGGATTCGCGAGTGCTGTCAAGAGCCGAAATAGACAGAATTCAAGGTTAGTCGCGTTGAGTTGGTTAGTATCCAAAGGCTAGTCGCTCCGACAAGCGCCTTATTCAGCACAATGTTGTGCGGTTAGGTAATAACTCCCTCAACATATGCATACCTGACGAGTAGATAGGCTCGAGTTTCAGATGGCTTACCGTGTCTTCCGTTTACGCCGTCGTCGACGACTCATTCTCATTCTCGTCACCTTTTCATCAGTTTCTCGCCTTTTCTGCACAACCCTTATCGCGCCAGATTTACTAACCTAGTGCGCACCGAATCTTATCTCGTTTATCCCCGCATCAAGCGCCCTCACGTCGTCGCATCCCTTTCCCCTCCGTGCTCACGACTTTCGTGGTCGCATTCGCGTCGCAGCTCGATTCACTCCCGCCGCATCCATCTCGCCACTTCGCATTCTCTTTCCTTGCGTGCCTTGCAAAGGACCATGCGGATTACTAGCAGTAGCAGCAGCACCAGCAGTGACAGATTCATTTAGATGCTACCGGTCTCGTTCTCTCACCCCCCCGCCTGGGTTGACAGCCGTGCACGCGCAGTGGTGAAGTTGGCGGTTGACAGCCATGCGCCTGGCTCAACGCTCCTTTCCCTGCCGCCTTGCCACCCTTCCTCTCGTTTCCGCTGTCTTGCCGCGCACGCATTCCCAACTCTCCCTCTCCCCCCCCCTTTCCCCCGCTCTCTCCCCCCCCCCCCCCTCCCCCCCCCTTCTTCCCCCTCTCTCCCCCCATACTTTCCCCCCCTTCCCCTTTCACTCCAAACCCCTTTTTTCCTCCGCGCAGCGGTGAAGGCGGCCGTTGACAGCCATGCGCGCGTGCTCGCGGGGGAGAGGTGGGTGCGCACCTACGGCAACTTCCGCGTGGCGCGGGAGGTGAATATCGGCCAGACGCCTTCCGCCGCGCCTGGTATGCCGCGAGTCACTGTAATGTGTTTCCGCGGCCGCTATGCGCCTTACTGTTTCGGCGCGCCTGAATATGGTCCTGCCTTGCGCGCACCGTCATTCTTCCCGCCCGTCCTCGCGCTTCGCCTTCGCCTCTGTTCCCTCGTCGTCTGCGCGCCGGTCCATTGCGCTGATGGGCTTGATCGAACGCTTCTTGAACCCTCTCTCATCCTTCCCCTGCTCCTCCTGTCCTCCCCTCCCCTCTTTCCCCCACTCCTTTCCCCCCCCCTCCCCCCATTTCCCCACCTCTTTCCCCCCATAGAGGGTCCGGTGGTGGCGGCGGCGTCCGCTGCGCGCCAGTCGATCGGGCTGCTGGGCATTAAATCTTTCTTCGAAGACGCCGCTGATGCCACCAGCGGCAATGGCGCCGCGGATTCCGCCAGCGCCGTTAACGGCGCCGCAGCTACAGCCGGGCCGTTCGTTGCGGCGGGGAACGACGCGAGCGTCGCGAATGCGCTCGCGAACGGCGCAACGGACAGCAGCAGCGGGGCCTCGTCGTCCTCCTCCTCCGCAGCTACCGCCGGGCCGTTTGTAGCGGTGGGGAACGATGCGAGCGTCGCGAAAGCTCTGGAGAACGGCGGAACGGACAGCAACAGCGGAACCTCGTCCTCCTCTTCCTCCGCCTCCTCCGCAGCTGCAGCCGGGCCGTTCGTAGCGGCGGCGGGGAACGACGCGAGCGTCGCGAGTGTGCTGGAGAGCGGCGCAACGGACAGCAACAGCGGGCTGTCCGCCCCGTCGTTATCCTCCTCCTCCTCCCAATCCTCGTCCTCGTCGTCCTCCCCAGAATCAGCCCCTGTGTTCAAGGCCAAGGGGTGGATGCTGCCTCACGCCCAGCAGCGTGAGCTCCCTCCGCCATGCCTTGCCACAATCCCTATTCCACCATATCACCCTGTACGTCGGCTTGCACGGGCCGCGGACGCGGGCCCAGGCAGTGCAGCACGCGGACGCCCGTGTGCTAATACGTCCGTCCCGCCTTCCCTTCTTTCTGCTCCCTTGCTCCCTCCCCCTTCTCCCCTTCCTTCCCCCCCACCAGCTTCAGATCTTGCCCCCAAGTCCATCGCGTTCCACGGCGGAGCGGTTCTATCCGACCCAATCACCGTGTACCTCATCTGGCACGGCACCTGGATTGATGAGCGCAAGGCTCCCCCTCGTGTGCTGGTGCCCGCGCGCTAATACGTCTGTACCGTCTTCCCTTCTTTCTGCCCTTTCTTCCCTCCTCCAGCTCAAGATCTCTCCCCCAACCCCATCGCGTTCCACGGCGGAGCGGTGCTATCCGACCCCATCACCGTCTACCTCATCTGGCACGGCACGTGGACTGACGAGCGCAAGGCGCCCGTGCGCGTGGCACCCGCGCGTTAATACCTGTACCGACTTCCCCTCTTTCTGCCCACCCCCTCCCCATCTTTTCCCTCTTTCCTCCCACCAGCTTCAGATCTTGCCCCCAAGTCCATCGCGTTCCACGGCGGAGCGGTGCTATCCGACCCCATCACCGTCTACCTCATCTGGCACGGCACGTGGACTGACGAGCGCAAGGCGCCCGTGCGCGCCTTCATCCAGTCTTTGGCGGACGCGGGCGCGGGCAGCGCGGGGGGGAGCGCGGGGGGGAGCAGCGAGGCGGGGAGTGTGCGCGAGTGGTGGAACGTCAACCGGCTGTATCATTCAGGCCGCGAGCACGTCACTGGGAGCATCGTACTCGGGGTGAGTGGGGGAAGGGGGAGGGGAGGGAGCGAGGGGCGGAGAGCTTGGAGCGAGGCGAGGCGAGGCGAGGCGAGGCGAGGCGAGGCGCAGAGGACAGCTCTCGAAGAAAGGGGGCCTGCTTGCACTGGGATGGGGGTTGGCTGCAACCGCGTTGCCATTGTGCCTGCCAGGCTTGCGTCACAGCAGCATCGGTGCTGTGCTGCCATCTTCCTAAATGATTGCTCTGCTCTGCTCTGCTCTGCTCTGCTCTGCTCCCACTTCCTTTGTTGTGCTTCTTCTCCCTGTGCTGCAGACCCCCGAGGTGGAGATCGAGGCAGCGAGCAGCGGCGAGGGGCAGCCACCGGCATCCAAGAACGAGGTCAACGCCATCATCAACTACCAGGTGCGTCACAGTCACTCTGTTACAGAGCTACCAGGCACTATCGCTCCCGGCTCTTCCTTGCCTCCCTTACTTTCTAAGCCCTCACTCTCCCTCTCTCTTTCTCCCTCTCTCTATCCCCTCCATCCCTATCTCCTCTCCCCCGTCAGCTCCGTTCGCGCACCCTCCCACGCCACGATTCCGCCATCTACGCCGTCTTCACCTCTGATGACGTCGACATGGCCGGCTTCGGCTCGTCCTTTTGCGCCTTCCATGACGTCAGCACGGTGCACTTCACCTGGACGGGCCTGCCGTCCAGGTTCATCCCCCAGTGCACGCATGCAGCCGCTCCAGGTAACACCTACCCCCACGGGGACAGGGCACTGGCCGGGCTGATCTCGAATTTCGCCCATGTGCTTGCCGCAGCTGCGGCGAACCCGAACCTGCTGTCCTGGTTCGACAAGGAGGGTCGGGAGGCCATGGGTCTGTGCGGTAACAACTGGGGCACGGTACATACCAGTAGGGATCCCCTGCCGGTGGAGTACAATGCGGTGGGGAAGGGTGGAGAGCGGTTTCTTCTGCCCACAAACCTCAATCCTGTTACTGGTAGCTGTGTCAACGGTCTTTCAGTCTTGCCGGGTCAATGTGGGCCCAAGTTTTTCGGCTTCCCCTGTGACACAGTCACTGCTACCGAGGCTGGTACCGAACCTCCTGCCGAAGCTGCCGCAGCAGGCTCGGACGGCCTGGGGAGTGGGGCAGGGTCGGGGTTGGGAGCGGCGGCAGCGAGTGTGGTCGGGGGGGAGGCGGAAAAAGCAGTGGTTGGGGGGGAGGGGGATGCAAGGAAAGTAAAGGACCCTCGAGTGGCTGAAGCAGAGGCAGCAGGCCTGGATCTATCAGTTGGGGGGAAGAACGTGGGGAGATTCTTGGAACCGGGGCAATTTGACCCGGCTAAAGGGGACAGGGACGAGGATGATGGGAGCAAGGGGCAGGGTGGGGAGAGTGCGGTCGATTCGGGTGCGGGCTCGAACGTGTTTGAGAGCACGGGGTATGCGGATAAGGGTGGGGAGGAGGAGAGGCGTGGGGAAGGGGGTGATGTGTATGGTGGTACGAAGGGTGGCGACCCGTTTGCTGTGGAAAGGACAGGGGAAGAGGGGTTGGGGGCGGATGAGGAGGTGGGGGCAAGCGAGAAGGTGGGAGCAGGTGCTGGTGCAGGAGCAGAGGACAAGAGTGAGGGGAAGGGAGAGGGGGACACTGATGGTGATGATGTGTTTCAGAGCACAGGGTACCCCCCAGATAGCTCGGCGGACGAGGAGGAGGAGAGCAAGCCTAAGGCAGGTGGTGGGGGAGGCGGGAGTGCGGGGGCGGAGGGGAAGGCTCAACCGGGGGAGGTGAACCCGTTTGTGCACCACTCTAACCTGGATGAGAATCCCGCTGCTGCTGCTGCTTTGGCTGGGGGAGGTACTGGCGATGATGGTGGGAATAGTGAGGGCGGTACTGGTGAGGGTAGCACGGGGGATGATGGGGGCAGTGGCGTGGGTGCTGACACTGAGGAAACCAGTGAGAGTGGTGATGGGGACGTGTTTGAGAGGCTTGGATACAGTGAGGGTGGCGAGCAGGGTGAGGGGAGTGAGAAGGGCGAGGAAGGTGAGGAGGGAAGTGAGGGCAAGGGCGGGGAGAGCGAGGAAGGGGGCGAGGAGGGCGGTAGTGGAGATGGCTCTAACGTGTTTGAAAACACAGGGTACCCTGATAGCGACGATGCCCATGGTGCCAGTTCTGCCAGTGCTGCTACCAACGATGCACACCCGTCAGCCCTGTTCCCAGGCGGCAGCAACACACCAATGAACGTATTTGACGACCTGGGGGACGGGGGCAGTGAGGAGGTGGGAGCGGATGGAGCGGGGGAGAGCAGCGGGGAGAGTAGCAGCGGCAGTGCGTCAGGTGGATCGTCAGGTGGTGGCGGTGTGTCTGGGGCAGGCGGTTTGGTGTCAGGTGGGTTCCAGGCGGGGTTATCAGCGGGGTTTGAGTTTGATCTGTCCCAGTTTAAGCTGGGCGAGAGGGAGAGCCCTTCTGCTCCGCACTTGTTCCCCGACGCTGCCGCTGCTGCGGCAGTGGGATCAAAGGGGGAGGTGCAGCAGCAGCAGCAGCAGCAGCAGCAGCAGCCACAGCAGCCGGAGCAGCCGCAGCAGGAGGAGAGGGAGAAGTGGGTGTTCTCAGGGGTTTAGAGGGATTAACGCACAGGAGGATTGCCGCTGGTGATCCGCTATAACTGCTTCCTGCTGCAGCTCCTGCTGCTGCTGCTCGTGCTTCTGTTGCTTCTGTTGCTTCTAGATCTAGTGTGGCTTGTGTTGGAGAGTGGCATTGGCAGGATGCTGCTCTTCTTAGTCATATAGATTATTTATTTCATTTAATTCGTGTGTGTGGTGGATGTGGTTGCACTACGGTTTTGTGCTCCATACGGCACCCTGTCAGACTTTCATATCTTCAAATTCCTTGCCATGTAAGGTTGATGAGGTGTTTTACCTTGTGTGTTTTCGCTTTCTCCCTGATCCTAGACCAAGAAGTGTTGGGGTCTACGATTTGTCATGTGAGGTTTCTAGTACCGGTGGTAGTATATTGCAGGCTATTGAGAAGGAAACTCAGGATATGGATGGTATAGCGGTGGTGTTAGTAGAACGTCAGTATTGATAGCAACATTCACAAGAGTCACTGCATGATCCCAAACCTAACTGTTTTCAAGTTACACGTTGATGAAACCCCAAACAGTGGAAGTCACCCAAGCGTGTCACCTGTGGGTGCATAAATGAGAACAGTGTTCTGTGCTCATTGGCAGTGCAGGTGGAGAATACAGTGAATGCAAGCTTTTGTTGGCATTAAATAAAGAGGAGGTCAGCAGCACAGCACCATAACACATGATGGTGAGAGAGCAGAAGAGCGCAAGTGAAGCTAACTGTAGAACCAGTGAGGGAGCACCTGCTGAGATGAGAGGACCAGGGACACGGACAGACACTCATGCTGCCCCCCACGCGGTGCCCGCGGAAGCACCAGCAGCAGCGGCAGCAGCGGCAGCAGCAGCAGGAGCAGCAGGAGAAGCAGGAGCAGCAGCAGCAGCAGCAGGAGCAGCAGGAGCAGCAGCAGCAGCAGCAGGAGCAGCAGGAGCAGCAGGAGCAGCAGGAGCAGCAGGCACGGAGTACCTGCTGGCGTCAGAGGTCCCCACGCGGTGCCCACCTGCTGAGATGAGAGGACCAGGGAGACGGACGGACACTCATGCTGTCACGTGTTGCTCGTTTCTCAAGTCTCCACTCTACATGCCAAAGTATGAGCAGGAGCACGGGCGGCGGTAGCAGCGGTAGCAGCGCGGTCGATTGCATAAAGCTGGCGCGGTGTGTGAGGTAGCGGCGCGTGACAGGCGGTTGGGAGGTGAACGCGCCGCTGATGGGCGCAAGAAGCGTTGTGTGCAAACGCGATGAGAGAAGCGATAGCGTGGTGTTGAATTCTGACAGGAGAAAATGGGGGTAAAGAACAACGGAGGTGGGGATGGCAACGGGGAAAAGGGGGACGCCGGCGAGGGAGGAAATAGCGGCAGGGAGAATGGGCGTTCTTAAAGTGGAAACATAGTTAATTTGCCGAATTTCAAAAGCGCACCTTTCCTCGCTCTGTAGAAATCCGTGTGTCAGGTGAACGATCCCCAGACCATCGTCAACCCTTTCTCGCTGCCGTCGCCGCGTTCGCCGCTTCCACGTCGTAGTCTTGTAACGAGTCCGCGCCGACGTCCGTCCCGTCGGCGTGTATTTCTGTAACGAGGATAAGAGCATCCATTCTGTGCGCACACGCGGAGAGGAGACGAGAGGCGAGAAGGCGAGACAAATCGGAGTGATTGCGGAATGAAGCTGGAGGGTCTTTATCTTCAGACGAGTCGCCGAGGATATCGATGGACATACCAACTATCCGCTACTAATACAAGGTCTACGAGCACAACAGTCCTGAAGCGTTTGAATTATTAATCCACTCATCCAGTAAAGCTGGTTTAGCAGATTTCCAGCGGAGAATAAAGCGCGGGATGGGAAGCGCGACGCGTTGTTTTAAGAAAAGCCAGCGCAAAAGCATCACCAGAAAACGGACCATGTATTATCGTGCCGATTCATGATCTCGCTGATGTTAGTGACTGAAGTCTCGCATTGACTATGGCGTGTTTCAAAACGCGGCGCGTTTCGTGGAAAGAATAATTGCTATACAATATGAACATCCATGAAGATAATTAATAATACGAAATTTCTACATCTACCAGAACATTCTACAGCAACTGGAAAGTTCCATATTTACCACTAAAAAGTTCCATATTTACTACAAAGTTTCATATCTACTAGCAGTTCCATATGGTGTCTACGAAAGATCCATGTCTACTAATTGAGAACTATATATTGATAGTCCACTAGATATTAATAATGTACTATTTGTAATACCCATGCATTGTAGGTATGCATGGGGGGTTCCTCTTGGCCGCCAGGAGCAAGCTCCCAACGTTACACCCAAGCACCGCGGTGAGGTGGGAACCATCGCTTGGGACCCTGTTGGGGGGGGGAGACAGAACACAGAAGGAATCTGGATACTGCCCAGGGGCAGGTGAAAATTAATCTCAAATCCAATGCTGCCCGGTTTTGCTTTCTGACCAGCAGTGAGGAACAAGCAACAGCGTTTTGGGACATCTCCCAAAACCCTGATTTTGCTCACTGCAGCTAAACTGCAGTGAGGAAGGCATGGGCATGAGTTTTGAGACATCTCTCAAAACTCACAAATTTAGTAAGGAAGAGAGAGAGAGAGAGAGAGAGAGAGAGAGAGAGAGAGAGAGAGAGAGAGAGAGAGAGAGAGAGAGAGTTTTGAGATGTCTCTCAAAACTCAGAGAAGAGGAGAGAGGAGGAACGGAACACTGCAGTGCACTGCAGGACACAACAGAACTGCCACCGGCAGCTCACAACTGGATTTGAGGCGCCTCAAACCAGCAAACAAGGACCTCACACCCCCCACTCTCACTCTGCCTCTCACTCACCCTCACACACCACACTCTCACTCTGACTCTCTCTCACCCTCACACTGCAGTTCTAAGCACTCAGCTCTTCCCTCACTCCTCTTCCACCGCACTCTGCTGCCCCCCACACTCTGCCTCTCTCTGCCTTCCTCACACTCTGCTTCCCCTGCAACCCCTGTTCCCCGCTATCTTCTCCCCCCTCACTCTGCTTCCCCCCACTCTCCTCCATCCCCTGATTTGCTGCATCTCCTGCATCTCTGCTTCATTTCTGCTCCATCTGCATCGTCTGCTTCATCTGCATCGTCACTTCACTTCACAGCACCAGCAGCAGCTCATGGGCGGGAGGTAGGAGCGAGGAAGATAGCAGCTGGCCCTCTCTTCTGCTCCCAGCAGCTGCCAGTCGTCTCCAACTGTTGCCGCCACCGCTGGTGCAACTTCTATCAGACCCTTCTGCTGCCACCGCTAGTGTCACTGAGGGCCTTCTCTTCTGCTGCCACCGCTAGTGTCACTGAGGGCCTTCTCTTCTGCTGCCACCGCTAGTGTCACTGAGGGCCTTCTCTTCTGCTGCCACCGCTAGTGTCACTGAGGGCCTTCTCTTCTGCTGCTCCCACTGCTTCTGCCACAGCTGCTGTCACCAATGGCCTTCTCTTCTGCTGCTGCCTCTCCTTTTGTTGCTGGCCATCTCCTTTGCTCCTCCACGCCCCTTCACCACTCCTCCTATCACTTCACACCACCAGCAGCAGACACTGGAGGGAGGTAGGAGCGAGGGAGGTAGCACCTGTCGCTGCTGCAGTTTTCTGGTATTGCTGACAGTCCCACTGCTGCTGCTGCTGTTGCCAACACAGCAGCACCTCTCCACCTCCACCGAAGCAGCTGCCATCCCATCACTTTGTAGCACCGGCTGCTGCCCTACTGCAGGCACACCCACTCCAATGCAGCAGCTGCCGTCCCGTCACTCCATAGCACCAGCAGCAGCACAGGGGATAGAGCAGGAGCGAATGAGGTAGCGGCTGCAGTCCCATCACATTGTAGCACCAGCAGCAGCACAGGCGAGATGAGAGAGGCGGGAGCGAGGGACGTAGCACAAGGCAGCAGCAGCAGGTAGTAACAGCAGGTAGTAACAGCAGTTAGTAATAGCAGGTAGTAACAGCAGCAGGTAGTAACAGCAGGTAGTAACAGCAGCAGGTAGTAACAGCAGGTAGTAACAGCAGCAGGTAGTAACAGCAGGTAGTAACAGCCCGAAATTGCTTGTGTCAATGCTGGCGCCTTCTCTTCGCTCCTCCATGCTACCAGTGCAGCTGTGCTCTTCTCTGCTCCTCTCCGCTGCTCTCCTCCCCTCCGCCAACTCCTCTGCTCCTCTCCTGTGCTTCCCCCAAACTGTGCTCCCCCTTTCACTCTGCTCACCCACCACTCTGCAAACTGTGTTCCCCTGCTTCCATCTGCGTATCTCCTTCACAGCTGGATCATCTCCTTCACAGCTTCTTCATCCCCCTCACAGATGCTTCAGCCCCTTCACAGCTGCTTCATCCCCTTCACAGCTGCTTCATACCCTTCACAGCTTCTTCATCCCCCTCACATCTTCATCCCCCTCACATCTTCATCCCCTTCACAGCACCAGCAGCAGCACGCGGGAGGGAGGTAGGAGCGAGGGAGGTAGCAGCTGCTTCATCCCCTTCACAGCTGCTTCATCCTCTTCACAGCTTCTTCATCCCCTTCACAGCTGCTTCATCCCCTTCACAGCTGCTTCATCCCCTTCACACCTCCTTGGGAGAAAAAGGTAGCCAAAGGTAGCTAAAGGTAGGTACAGCTCGCAGGCCCGCTCATGGCAGTCCAGCCGTCTCCTCTGCTCGCCTGTAGCAGCCGTCTCCTTTGCACCTCCACTGCTGATCCATCTTGTCTGCTGCTCCCTCGCCTCTGCGTCCTTCTGTGAAATGGGAGGAGAATAAAACAGGGCAGATGAGTGTAAGAACTCGGAGCAAATGAACAAGGCAAAACCAAAACCAAGACCAAGACCAAGGCAACGACATCCATTCGAATAAACAGAACAACTAAAGTAAGAAAAAGAATCACCATCAGCAGTGAATAGCTATCCACCACCGTGCTCATTTGCTCTTTGCTCTTCAATGCAGCACCACTCCCCCTCCAGTGCAGCACCACTCCCCCTCCAGTGCAGCACCACTCCCTCTCCACTTCTGCTGCCACTGCTGGTGTCACTGCTGGCCTTCTCTTTCTTCTCGGACTGCTGCTGCCACCGGTAGTGTCACAGCATGCCTCTCCCCTACTCCCACCGCTGGTGTCACTGCGGGTGCCACCTCCAATGCAGCAGCAGCAGCAACACCTCCCAACGCAGCAGCAGCACCACCACTTCACAGCACCACGCCACCACTTCACAGCACCAGCAGCAGCACATGGGAGGGAGGCAGCATTATTTTCTCCCACTGCTGCTCCTCTGCTCCTCTGCAGTAGCACACGGGAAGGGTGGCCTTTTCTTTTGCTGACACTGCTGCTGCCACTGCTGGTACCACTGCTTGCATTCCCTTCTGCTGCCACTGCTGCTGAAACCAGTAATGTCACTGCCGGCCTCTCTTCTGCAACACTGCTGCGGCCACAGCTGGTGCCACTGCTGGCCTTCTCTTCTGCTCGCTGTCCCATCACTTCACAGCACCAGCAGCAGCACGCGGGAGGGAGGTAGGAGCGAGGAAGGTAGAAGCTGCCGTCCCATCACTTCACAGCACCAGCAGCAGCACGCGGGAGGGAGGTAGGAGCGAGGAAGGTAGCAGCTGCCGTCCCATCACTTCACAGCACCAGCAGCACCACGCGGGAGGGAGGTTGGAGCAAGGAAGGTGGCAACTGCCATCCCATCACTTCACAGCACCAGCAGCAGCACGCGGGAGGCAGTAACAGCTCGCAGCTTGCTGGTGTCGATTTCACAGCCGTGCCTGTGGGCCGTGCTTTCTCCCCTCCATGCCTTCTCTCCTCCATGCGGCCAGCAGCGTTGGGGGGAAGCACAGCTGTGCTGCTCTCTGCTCCTCTGCTCCTTTGGCCTTCCCCCGTCCGTGCCTTCTCTGCTCCATGCCTCTCCAATGCTCCATCTCCTTCCTCTTCTTGCCTCTCCTTCCTCTCCGCTGCTGCTCCTTCTCCTTTGCAACACCATCCCCTGTGAAATGGGAAGAGGCAGGATGAAAGAAAGCCCCGTTTGCACCCCATCCCAAGAAAGGACATAATCTCACGTAATGACAAGAAAAAAAGGACTTTGAGCATGCATAAGGCAAGAAACAAAGGACTTGCGAAACGAATAAGACAGCAACCATGCATCTGAACGAACAGAACAGATAAAGCAACAAAGAGGATCTGAACACAGCACATATCTACTCCACCACTGTGCTTCTTCGCTCCTTTGCTCCTTGCTCCTCGTCTCCTCTGCTGCTCCTCAGCTGAGCCAACTCCTCTCCTTCTCTGATGCATCTCCTCCTCCTCTGATGCATCTCCTCTGCTCCTCCTCCTCTGATGCATCTCCTCCGCTCCTCCTCCTCCTCGGATGCATCTCCTCTGCACCTCCTCCTCTGATGCATCTCCTCTGCTCCTCCTCTGATGCATCTCCTCTGCTCCTCCTCCTCTGATGCATCTCCTCTGCTCCTCCTCCTCTGATGCATCTCCTCTGCTCCTCCTCCTCGGAAGAATATCCTCTGCTCCTCTTCCTCTGATGCATCTCCTCTGCTCCTCCTCCTCTGATGCATCTCCTCTGCCCCTCCTCCTCTGATGCATCTCCTCTGCTCCTCCTCCTCTGATGCATCTCCTCTGCCCCTCCTCCTCTGATGCATATCCTCTGCTCCTCCTCCTCTGCTCCTCCTCCTCTGATGCATCTCCTCTGCTCTTCCTCCTCTGATTCATCTCCTCTGCTCCTCCTCCTCGGAAGAATCTCCTCTGCTCCTCTTCCTCTGATGCATCTCCTCTGCTCCTCCTCCTCTGATGCATCTCCTCTGCTCCTCCTCCTCTGATCCTCCTCCTCTGATGCATCTCCTCTGCTCTTCCTCCTCTGATTCATCTCCTCTGCTCCTCCTCCTCAGAAGAATATCCTCTGCTCCTCTTCCTCTGATGCATCTCCTCTGCTCCTCCTCCTCTGATGCATCTCCTCTGCTCCTCCTCCTCTGATGCATCTCCTCTGCTCCTCCTCTGATGCATCTCCTCTGCTCCTCCTCCTCTGATGCATCTCCTCTGCTCCTCCTCCTCTGATGCATCTCCTCTGCTCCTCCTCCTCGGAAGAATATCCTCTGCTCCTCTTCCTCTGATGCATCTCCTCTGCTCCTCCTCCTCTGATGCATCTCCTCTGCCCCTCCTCCTCTGATGCATCTCCTCTGCTCCTCCTCCTCTGATGCATCTCCTCTGCCCCTCCTCCTCTGATGCATATCCTCTGCTCCTCCTCCTCTGCTCCTCCTCCTCTGATGCATCTCCTCTGCTCTTCCTCCTCTGATTCATCTCCTCTGCTCCTCCTCCTCGGAAGAATCTCCTCTGCTCCTCTTCCTCTGATGCATCTCCTCTGCTCCTCCTCCTCTGATGCATCTCCTCTGCTCCTCCTCCTCTGATCCTCCTCCTCTGATGCATCTCCTCTGCTCTTCCTCCTCTGATTCATCTCCTCTGCTCCTCCTCCTCAGAAGAATATCCTCTGCTCCTCTTCCTCTGATGCATCTCCTCTGCTCCTCCTCCTCTGATGCATCTCCTCTGCTCCTCCTCCTCTGATGCATCTCCTCTGCTCCTCCTCCTCTGATGCATCTCCTCTGCTCCTCCTCCTCCTCTGATGCATCTCCTCTGCTCCTCCTCCTCTGATGCATCTCCTCTGCTGCGCCTCCGCTGCTCCTCTGCTGCTCCGTCCCCTCCGATGCGTCTCCTGCGGGGTGGGAAGGAAGAAAACCTTATGAGAAGCCAGCGATTGCAGCCAGAGCCAAACACTGACTCAAAATCGACGCCAAGCGAACAAAGCAACGACCATACATCCAAAGGAGAAATAATTCGAGAGCAGGAAAGAAGAATGCTCACTGGCAGTAGCAATGGACAGGAATCCTTCCTCCTGCTGCCTCCGCCTCCGCTGCTCCTCTCCTCCGCTGCGCCTCCACCTCCGTTGCTGCTCCCATCTCCTCCAAAGTGAAAAGGGAGATTCAATGAGCGATTCAGTGATCACATCTAGTGATTCAGAATGGCAAGAAACAAGTGATTCAGAATGAATTCAAAGTGAACAAGGCAACGACCATCCATCTTGGAGACCAAAAGGCAAAAGTAGGAAAGAAGATCCTCACCGGCAGTGGCTCTGCTCCCACGCTCCTGCCCCGCGCTCCTCTGTTCCCCTTTCTCTGCTAAATCAGACAACAAGGACATTAGTGCATGTGGAAAACAGGAAAACAGAAATGGAACAGCACGTACCGAGGGGAATGGAGGCGTGTTGAAGTCTTGGGGCTGTCTGAAAGGGGAGGGAGGCAACAAACCACGACATTAGTGCATGTGGAAAACAGGAAAACAGAAATGGAACAGCACGTACCGAGGGGAATGGAGGCGTGTTGAAGTCTTGGGGCTGTCTGAAAGGGGAGGGAGGCAACAAACCACGAAATTAGTGCATGTGGAAAAGAGGAAAAAAGAAATGGAACAGCACGTACCGAGGGGAATGGAGCCGTGTTGAAGTCTTGGGGCTGTCTGAAAGGGGAGGGAGGCAACAAACCACGACATTAGTCCATGTGGAAAACAGGAAAACAGAAATGGAAGATAACACACCGAGGGGGCTGGAGCGTTCTTGATGTCTTCGTGACGGCTAAGACAAGAAGACACACACATAACAACATTAGGCATGAGACGACACAAGAAAGCAAAAGAGACGGCAGCTTACAATGGGTCCTAGCTGCTGCGTCCCCGAGTTGATCCGGCCGTGGTGTTGCCTCCCCCGTTCTTGCTGTACCTAGAAGAGGGGTGGCACAAATTTAATACTTTGCCCCCTTGCTGCTGCGTCCCCCTGTTGCTCCCGCCTTTGTGTTGCCTCCCCCGTTCTTGCTGTACCTAGAAGAGGGGCGGCACAAAGTTTAATCCTTTACCCCCAGTGGGCAAAGTACGCGCCTCACTGGAAGGTGCTGCTCCTCCTCTTGCTGCTCCTCCTTGTGTTGATCCTTTGCCCCCCAGGGGGTCAAAGCGCCTCACTGGAAGGTGCTGCTCCAACTCTTGCTGTTCCTCCTTCTGTTGATCCTTTGCCCCCCAGGGGGTCAAAGCGCCTCACTGGAAGGTGCTGCTCCTCCTCTTGCTGATCCTCCTTGTGTTGTTCCTTTGCCCCCCAGAGGGCCAAAGCGCCTCACTGGAAGGCGCCGCTCCATCTTCCGCTGCTCCTCCTGTGTTGATCCTTTGCCCCCCATGGGGCCAAAGCGCCTCACTTGAAGGTGCTGCTCCTCCTCCTGCTGCTCAACAGGAGAGAACTATAACAGTAACAACAACCACAGCCCACACCAAGTGTGACTTTTGAGACGTTTTGCTCTCAAAACCCAAGTTTTGCTCACCGCAGCAAATCTGCAGTGAGGAAGGAGGAGGCGTGAGTTTTGAGACGTCTCTCAAAACCCACCATTTGCAGAGTTTTTACCAGCATATGCTCCCACTGCTAGCCTTCGCTGCTAGTATATGCTCCCACTGCTAGCCTTCCCTGCTAGCATCTGCTCCCACTGCTAGCCTTCCCTGCTAGCATCTGCTCCCACTGCTTGTCTTCTCTTCTGCAGCCAGCCACTGCTGCTGCCAGCTGTAGCGTCATTGCAGACCTCTCTCCTTCTCCCACCGCTGCTGCCACCGCTGGTGTCACTGCTGGTCTTCTCTTCTGCTGCCAGCCACTGCTGCTGTCAGCTGTAGTGTCATTGCGGACCTCTCTCCTTCTCCCACCACTGCTGCCACCGCTGGTGTCACTGCTGGTCTTCTCTTCTGCTGCCAGCCACTGCTGCTGTCAGCTGTAGTGTCATTGCGGACCTCTCTCCTTCTCCCACCGCTGCTGCCACTGCTGGTGTCACTGCTGGTCTTCTCTTCTGCTGCCAGCCACTGCTGCTGTCAGCTATAGTGTCATTGCGGACCTCTCTCCTTCTCCCACCGCTGCTGCCACCGCTGGTGTCACTGCTGGTCTTCTCTTCTGCTGCCAGCCACTGCTGCTGTCAGCTGTAGTGTCATTGCGGACCTCTCTCCTTCTCCTAGCCTCGTTGCTGCTTGCCTTAGCAGGTCGTCACGACACACGGGAGTCCCAGCAGCAGATGAGATGCCCATGCTTCCAGCAAGTGAGAAACCACCCTTTCCTTGCCTCCTTGCCTCCTTGCCACCTTGCCTCCTCCTCCCTCTCCTCCTTCCCTTAGCAGCAGGTGAGACAACAGATGCCTATGCTCCCTGCCGAGACAAAAGAGGGCGGGGGGAGAAATGGGAGATGAACGAAGGAAGAATTGTAGAGGATAATGAAACACTGGAGTGACGAGACAAGGACACGGCGAGCTTGGTAGGGAAGGTGAAGAGCAACTCACCAGGTGGCCCAAGCATGGCGTGAGCTCCCCACATGGCCTCCCATCCCCCGCAATGCGCCTCTGCTTGCTGTCACTCTCCCGCTGCTGCTGCTGCTGCTGCTGCTGCTGCTGCTGCTGCTGCTGCTGCTGTTGGGAGGTTGGGCGAGGGCAGTGGTCAGCAGGGCCAGCCCAGGCCGTGCATCATCCCACCACTCGCCTCTTCACTCGCCACACTGCTTGCACTGCTCCTCCATGCTCGCTGCTGCTGCCAGCCTGTGGGTGTGCTGGCAGAGGGATGGCAGGAAGAGGGATGCTGGCAGGAGGAGAGGAGAAGAGGGAAACAAGTGGACGGAGCAGAGAAGGGAGGTGAGAGGGAAGGCGATTAGCACGGCGTACGCAAGTGACAGAATGGAAAAACGGCATGCATGTAAGCAAGGAAAAACGGAAGGATGCAAGCAGTGAGTGTGTGAGTGCAAGCAAGCAGTGCAAGGCACGAGTACGAGCGAGTGAGTGGTGTGAACTGAGTGAGATAGCTTAGCCGGATGGAAGAGGGTCAAAGGAGCATGCATGAGTGCTCCTCTTGTGTGCGCTACCCTTGCGCTCCCCTGCAGGCGCTCCCGTTGCGTGTGCTCCCCTTACCTCCTTGCTCTTGGACTGCCATAGCGCCATGGACTGCCATAGCACCATGGACTGCCATAGCGCCATGGACTGCCATAGCGCCATGGACTGCCATAGGGCCATGGACTGCCATAGCGTCAAGGACTGCCATAGCGCCAAGGACTGCCATAGCGCCATGGACTGCCATAGCGCCATGGACTGCCATAGCGCCATGGACAAACCAGCTCCAGCTTCCGCTTCTGCACGGACGGACGGAGACAGTTGAAGTCGCAGTGAATGAGATACGCCATGATAGGTACAGAAAAGAAAATACGAAATGTGATCGCCAAGAGAGCAGCGAAATAGCGATTATGAAAATAGCGATTTTCAAACTATGAATATATCCGTCAAAAGAGACGCTGCCTAAAAACCAGCATTTGGGGTAGGAGCGGACGAAAACTCACCACACCGGGCGAGCTCCTCAATAGTCGCAGCGAGCTCTTCCAACACTGTAGCACCGCCTCCAAAACAGCAGCATCGCCTCCAACACAGCAGCACCACTCCAACACAGCAGCACCGCCTCCAACACAGCGGCACCACCTCCAACACAGCAGCACCGCCTCCTACACAGCCGCACTGCCTCGTACACAGCAGCACCGCCTCCAACACAACAGCACCACTCCAACTCAGCAGCACCCCTCCAACACAGCAGCACCGCTCCAACACAGCAGCACCGCTCCAACACAGCAGCACCGCCTCCAACACAGCAGCACCGCTCCAACACAACAGCACCGCCTCCAACACAGCAGCACCGCCTCCTGCATAGAAGCACAGCCTCCAACACAGCAGCACCACTCCAACACAGCAGCACCGCTCCAACACAGCAGCACCGCCTCCAACACAGCAGCACCGCCTCCTACACAGCATAACCGCTCCAACAGAGCAGCACCGCCTCCAACACAGCAGCACCGCTCCAACACAGCAGCACTGCCTCCTGCACAGCATTACCGCCCCCAACACAGCAGCACCACTCCATCGCAGTAGCACCACTCCATCCACCACTCCTTTGGCGCCACAGCAACGCCAGTCAGCCATCTCCTCCCGCGGCAGCTCAAGAAGCGTCCGTCCTTCCAGCACCAACGTAGTCAACATCTTTAGACGCACGGACGCATCAGCACCGCTCCGCACCTGCACGGACAGTTTAATGTGCAGCATCCAGATGGACGGCCGTGGATCCGCCGCAGTCCTCACCCTCGTGAGATAAACCTGTACCAACCTGGCCACAACGGCCTCTGCACCACCTGCTTCACGCCCACGGCAAGTCGCACAAAGGAAGTTGAAAAGGACTACGCGGCGATTCAAGAGGCGGAAAGTGCTGAGGCGGAACCCACAGGCATGACATACATAGAGCTTGACGTTGCGTCCCATCGCATCTTCGGTACTGGAAACGAAGAATTCAGAATGACGCCAGAAGAACGTCCTACACCACGCTCGGAGACACTACATTTCGTCCTCGAAGCTAACACCGGAACTTTTGACAAGGAGAATCGTCCGCGCCCCTACAGCCGCGACATCTATCGCACCGTCATCGACAAAAAGTGGAAAGACCCAAACGAACCTGAGGAGCTGAGCGTTCACGAGGAGGAAGAAAAGGCAAGGGCATAAAAGAAAGCAAAGCTGTATGAGGAGCGCATCGCGGCAGGATGGGACGAAGAGTCAGCACGATGCTGTGGATGGGGAGATGAAAGCGACAATGGCGGCGGCACCTCCGGAGCAACACGGGGATCCGCAACTGGCGCGTCTGGCACCGTTCAAGGATGGGGAACTGGCGCGTGGGGCGAACCCGAACGCCAAGAATTCGCCGAAGGCGATCTTACTCAAGAGGAACTCGAGGCGGTCGAACGAGAGATGGCAGCTGAGAGACCATCTCCACAAGTCACCATCCCACTCGGACGACCCCCACGTAATCTTCCCCCATCACCCCAATCACCTCATCGCTGGTATGATCCCTAGTCGAAGATTGAAGAGGGGAACGTACCTGCGACTCCGCCACGCGACTTGCTTGGGCCAATCTCTTGCGCAGATCCATTCACCCGTTTCATCGAAGGCACCAGGACTCTGCTCAACATCATTCCATATCGTGATTTTCTCGCGCTCTATCTCTTGATGGCACCTGTGGAGGGGGAAGCAGAAGCAGAAGCAGAAGCAGAGGAGCAAGACAACGAAGTAGAACCAGGAGACGAAGAAGAACCAGCGCTCCAAATTCCCCACAAGAAAGAAGCAGAGGCGACGGAATATCACGCACGATACCTGGGCACTTCCGGAATCCGCGTAGAAGACGATCTTTGGCATCAGCAACTCGGTCACCCCTCGCGCCAGACATTCAACAACTCCCTTCGTGCTAAAGTTTTCTTTCCAGGAGCACTGCTGCGCCCTGATGGCACGAAGCCTCACAACACCCCACACCCGACTACCTGCACCGTCTGTCCCACAGCTGCCCTCACTCACAACGCCTACCCCTCGTTGGAGCCAAGCACCAACCGCTTCAAGAAGCTGCAGAAGGTGTACAGCGACTTCATCGAGCTCACTTTCTACGGCATAAACGGCGAAAAATGCACACTCACCTTCGTGGACGCCTACTCGCGCCACGCCTGGATCGCCAATGTTGACGCTCGCTCCAAGGCTCCTGAGATCTTCCGCATTTGGCTCGCACACGCGCAACGGCAATCAAGGAAGAAGCTCAAAATCTGGCAAACTGACGGCACCAAGGAGTTTCGCAGTAACGAACTGGAAAGCGTTGTCACAGAGAAGGGGATCAAACATCAGATCTCACTTCCCTATGCTCACCATCAGCAAGGCGTCGCAGAGAGGGTCAATCGCACCCTCATGATAAAAGTGCGCGCTCTCATGAACCAGTCTGGCCTGCCCAAGAAGTATTGGTCGTACGCCATGAATCACGCTATGCGACTGCACAACCTCCTCTCCACCATGGCCAACCGAGACAATCTCTCTCCACACATGAAATGGACCGGCTCAAGGGGAGATCCCTCCACGCTGAGGTTATGGGGGTGCGTGGTGCAATATCAGCTGACTTCGGCAACAACCGGCAAGTTCACTCACCGCGCGCGCTGGGGAGTCCATCTGGGGCTCAGTCACGAGCACAAGGGCTGGCTAATCCTCAACATCGACACGAACCAGATCGTCCCTTCTCGCGACATTCTCTTCTACGAGCGTCTCACTTTGCAGCAGTGGATCGAGGACGAGCATCGCAACGTCGCACGGGCCTACGCCAACACCGGCCGTAGCTTCGCATCTCCGGAAGACGAGGCAACAGCAGCTGCACTTGACCGCGACCCCGCCAACGAACATCCCGGCGTACCGCCTCGTCCGCACGACGACGAGAATGACGATGACGATGCTCCTGCACCAGGACCATCACGTCGCCACACTCAGCCCAACACCTCCTCACCTGCACACGAGAGTGACGATGACGATGTGGTGGAAGTCACCACCACAGATACCGCAGGCACCGCCAATGTGTCTGGCCTACAGCTTCTCGGCCTACACACGTCAGTCACTACTCTCACGCGCGCCGTCGAGCCCAAGAATCCACGTCAGTCCCTAACCGGGCCTCACGCCAAGGAGTGGCGTGCCGCTATGGACGCGGAGCTGAAGGCGTTGGAATCACGCGATACATGGGTCGTCGTCGATCGTGCAACAGTGAAGGGGAGGAGGGTGCTAAGTGGAAAATGTGTTTTTCGTCTTAAAACCAGCGCTGACAGCACTATCGAGCGTTTCAAGGCACGCTGGGTCGTGCGCGGGTACGACCAGCACCACGGCATTGATTTCGATCTAACCTTCGCTCCCATCAGCACACATCCGTCAGGATTCTACTCGCCATTGCCGCCGCTAAGCATTTACCACTGCGGCAGATCGACGTCAAGAACACGTTTTTATACGCGTTGGTGGATGCAACCATCTTTGTGGAGTAGCCACACACCTATGGGGAAGGAGACCCCAGGGTCTGTCAGCTGAAGAAATCCCTCCACGGGATAAAGCAGGCGCCGCGCCTCTGGCAACAGCACCTGCACAAAATCCTCTTGGAAATTGGCTTCAGGCAGCTACCGCACGACTCGGGAATGTACCGCCTCCACTTCAACGGCGATTACATCCTCCTCACCGTCTACGTCGACGACCTGCTGTACACCGGTACCCGCAACAAGCTCCTTAATCAGTTCGAGGAGAACCTGGCGCAACGCGTTGACATCACCATCAACCACAACGTCACACAGTTTTTGGGGCTGAACATCACCTACACGCCAGAAGCAATTCATCTGCCAGCCTCCAAGTACGCAGAACAGCTGGGGGAACGTTTCAGCATCTCACCCGCACCACTGTCAACTCCTTACCGCAACCCCAGCACCAACTACAAACCAGACAACAAACCTTTGTCGCCCGCAGGACTCCAACTGTACCAGCAGCAACTGGGATGCCTACTGTTCGCCTCTGTCACATGCCGACCCGACCTTTCGTACATCTCCAGCCAACTGGCACAGTACTCTCACAAGCCAGTAGCTGAGAACCAGCTGGACCTGGAGTGCAACCTGCAGTACTTCATCTCCACACCTGACATCGGCCTCTCCTACTCTACGCTGACGACAACCTCCTTCAACCTCAACGGCTACGTGGACGCAGATCATGCCGCTGATCCTGCGAATCGACGGTCACGAACCGGCTTTGTTTTTTGCCTGGAGCCAACAGGACCAATCTCTTGGAACTCACAAAAGCAGGAGCTGGTTGCATTGTCATGGGCTGAAGCAGAGTACATCGCCGCGACAGCAGCAGTTCGCGAAGGTCTGTACCTGCAGGAGCTGCTGCAGGAAGCGAAAATTCCAACTTCGCCCACCTTTCGGCCTCACTGCGACATCCAGAGCGCCATCAAGATCGCCAACAAGCCCGGATTCGTGAACCGCACGAAGCACATCGCGCTTCGGTATTTCTTCGTAAAGGACGAAATCGCCCAGGGTAAAGTTGACCTTGCGTATTGCCCCACCACTGAGATGGCAGCCGACTTCCTCACCAAGCGACTGCCACGTTAGCAGTACAAGCACTGTTCCAACCTCACCGGAGTAGTCAAGCGAGTCAGCCCTTTGCGCGCCCAAGAATGAAGGGGGGTGTTACGATATGAAACTTTATGAGAAGGCATTCCTGTATGTTGCAGGAGCCGACTCTACCGAGTACGAAGTCGAGGAGTCAGAAGAGTCGAAGCGACACAGCTTTCGTCTGACCAAGACCGATGCAGGCAGAAACATTTGAACTGAAAAGAGCGGGAACAGGTTTGAAACGGGTTCCCGCGCCGCACGGTTTGAATTTCGCTGTAATAACGGAATGTACCCCTTGTATTTCCTATATAAACTCGATATATGCATGCTATTATCATCACAGTCATTTACATTCACTCTGACCTGAGGTCAACACTTCTGCTGCAACATTACCCTGCGATCAACCCTGGGCGATCCTTCGCTAAGTCCCACTTGGGATTGTAACAGAGGGGAAGGAAGGAATTTCAGCGGGGGAGAGAGGAGATGGAAGGAATTTCAGCAGGGTAGAGACAGAGGAGCTTGTCTCTGAGCACGCAAGAGGCATGAAGCTGACGTCATGTCACACATAGCTAGACTCGTACAAAGAAGTGAAGGATGCTCGATAAGGAATCATTTGCCTCGGTGCGGTTGAAGTTCGGTGATGTGTTATTGCTAATATCAGCCGGCGTCGTTGCTGGCTTCGCCGACGTGGTTGGTGTCCCCTCCGCGTCTCATGGTAGGTCATGGAAGGGAAGGAAGGGCTTCCAAAAAGGAAGGATTTCGGAAAGGAAGGGCTTCCGTGGTTCCCCACCATCTCGCAGCTTTCGTGTTTTGAGACGTCTCAAAACTCGCCGACGTGATTGCTGTCCCCTCTGCGTCTCATGTTAGGTCATGGAAGGGAAGGAAGGGCTTCCAAAAACATAGGGCTTCCATGGTTCCCTGCCGTCTCGCAGCTTTCGAGTTTTGAGACGTCTCAAAACTCGTCGGCATGGTTCTTGTTCCCTCCGCGTCTCATGGCAGGTCATGGAAGGGAAGGAAGGGCTTCCAAAGAGGAAGGTCTTCCAAAAAGGA